AAAAATACATCTGCAAAATCCTTTCACAACAACCTAAATTAGGGCTGGCTTGCATAACTGGGTGGAGATGTCTGTAAACCAGGGGCTGGAAATTGGCAGGTTGGTTTTATAATTCTGCCTTTCTACTACAGTAGCAAATTGGATGGCTTAGCTGTCAGCCTCACAAATTGATCTTTCTGGTACTTTGTACAAATGATTATAATTCCTGTTGGTCCTTTCAGATGCTCCTTTTATCACATCTATATTCAATGTATCTCACAAGTTACTAGCTTGCAACCTATATTTAGCACATTTTATGAATTATTCCAGTTTTTCACAAGCTACTTGCTGATGTATCATATCCATTTAACACATTCTATGAGTTTTACTTATATCTTATAAACTACTAGCTAATCTGGTACCTAGGCTTAAATTTCTTTTGAGTTTCAAATGCCTCATTTGTCTGTCTTACCCTCTAGGAAGAACTGAATATCCTTAAGTAATAACAGCAAACACACAGTTTGCATCAGCAAGGAAAGGGGGACAGTAAAGATGGTATGCTCCTCATGGCTCCCCTTGCCCCTAAGGGCTTTCACAGGCCAGCACTATGACACACCAGGTTAAACTGCTGCCTGGGATCCTGGCACCCTGTATGAGTGCTACTTCCAATCCAGCATTCTTGGAAATGTGCCTGGGAAAGCAGCAAAAGATGACCCAAGTACTTGAGATTCTGCCACCCAGGTGGGAACCCTGATGGGGTCTGGTCTCCTGGCTTTGGCTTGGCTCAAGCCTGGCTGTTGGGAGAGAACCAACACATGGAAGATTCTCTTTCTTTCTATCTCTGTAACTCTTATCCCTATCTCTCTTTAATCCAAGCATGGCTGCATGACTAAGTTCTCATCAGTAGAATGTAAATAGATATGTTTTTTGTGAAAGTCCTTACCACTATTTTTTTAAGAAGCTAGAATTGGAAGCAGAGCTGGAACTTGAACCCAGGCACTTCAATAATGGGGTGAGAGTGTGCTGAGCGATGTCTTAACTACTGCACCAAATGCCTGCTTCTCCACTATGAACTGCTTGAAGCCCCTTTTGAAAATATATGCTTATACATGCCAGGTGTAACTGCATAGTTTTTGCAAATGTATAATTTTTATAGTTTAGAAATAGAAGATATACTTTTGTTTAAGATTTATTTTATTTATTGGAAAGGCAAAGTTACAGAGGGAGAGAAAGCAAGAGAGAGAGAGAGAGAGAAAGAGAGAGAGAGAAGGAGAAAGAGAGAGGTCTTCCATGTGCTGGTTCATCCCCAAATGGCTGTAATGGCTGGAGCTGGGCCAATCTGAAGCCAGGAGTCTAAAGCTTCTTCCAGGTCTCCTATGTGGGTGCAGGGGCCCAAAGACTTGGGCCATCTTCTACTGCTTTCCCAGGCCACAGCAGAGAGCTGGATAGGAAGAAGAGAAGCCAAGACTCAAACTGGAGCCTATACGGGATGCTGGCACTGCAGGCAGCAGCTTTACCCACTATGCCACAGCGCCAGCCCTGAGGATACATTTTTTTTTTAATTCTACATTTATATATTTACTTTGAACATTTGTGAACTTTGATAAAAATTGAGTGTTCTGGGGTCAGCACTGTGGTGCAACAGGTTAAAGCCCTAACCTGCAGCACTAGCACCCCATATGGGTGCCGGTTCGAGTCCCAGCTGCTTGACTTCCGATCCAGCTCTCAGCTATGGCCTGGGAAAGTAGTGGAAGATGGCCCAAGTCCTTGGCCCCTGCACCCATGTGGGAGACCTGAAAGAAGCTCCTGGCTCCTGGCTTTGGATCAGCGCAGCTCTGGCCATTGTGGCCATTTGGGGAGTGAACCAGCAGATGGAAGAGCTCTCTGTCTCTGTCTCTACCTCTTCTCTGTAACTCTGTCTTTCAAATAAATAAAATAAATCTTTAAAAAAAATTAGGTGTTCTGTTACAAAGGAATAAGGGGAAGAAAGGCATGGTGGAGGACAATTAGTGATTTCTATTATAACATAAAAATCAAATTAACAATGTATGTAATTTTGAAGTAAAGACAGTGGCTAAAGCCTTCATGTCTAACTGGCCATGGGGAGCAGCTAGTATTTAGGATTTAGCAGTTCCCTTTCTCTTCCCCTAAACCACGCCCCTTGCCCTGAGGCCTTTGTGATTCTACTTTTCCTTCCCCTCCCCTCCCTAACCTGCCTACCCCACAGTCCTGACAGTGAGCAATCCTGTGAAACTTCCTATACAGGAGTCTGGCTCTACAGCACCACTAGATAACAGTGCAGAAGATGAGCCCAGTAGTTCTCTAGTATTCTTGCTATATTCCTCATTTCTCCCATATATATTTCAGATCCATAACCCAGCTAGTCATACCAACTTTTTGCCACTTGCTTTGATAGCATAAGGAGCCTAAAATAGAAAGGTGGAAGTTTCTACTTCAAATTTATTTCCCCTATTACCTCATTCTGCCCTTCCTGTGGGGACTAAGACTTGAGATTTTAAAAGCCCACGGTTACAAGTTCAGAAGACAGAAGTTCTGAAAGCTGTTGTTGGGTGTGATCGTGATCAGTGCCACTCACATGTACACCACTGGTTTTCTAGAAGCTCATTCCTTCCTATGGGGCAGAAAATATCATTGCTGGGCAGCAGTGTAGAACACGTCACATTCTGGAGGACAGGACATTTGCAAAATGAGCCTCCCGGTTTGATACCCTGCTTGATTTTTCAGTGAAATTTTTCACAATGAGAGTGATTCTATCATTTGGGTTTAAAAACACTATGTACCTTCTCTTTGATTTGACCAGTGGAAAGGATAATGCAAGCACTTAAGATTATGAATTACAGAAAAAGTATGTATTCAACCAAATTGGATTAAAATTCTGACCTATTCATATCAACTGTAATTATGTTCCATAGTTAACTTTATAAGACTGATCTACTATTAGTTAATTAGTGATTCATTTTTGATTACCTGGATAGTTTCCAAATAATGGAACATTGATCATCAAATACAGGTTTTATCTACACTTTGGCTTCTTTTTTATTTTATTTTTTTATCTCTTATTTTTATGCTCTGAAATAGCCACTCTAAGAAAATATGAAGATGATGTGTGTGTGGACATGAGGATCATCTTAGACATGTCCCACTGATCTCCTAAATACTTACATGAGACAGGTATCAATATGCTACTTCCTGCTTCTCTCTGTGAATTTTCAGTTAATTTGATTAAAATTTATATGTAATATGCCAATAATAACAACATGGGTAATTGAGTCTACTGCTTTTGGCAGTTTTTTAAAACATGTTTTTGCACTTTTTTTTTTTTTTGACAGGCAGAATTAGACAGTGAGTGAGAGAGAGAGAGAGAAAGGTTTTCCTTCTGTTGGTTCACCCCTCAAATGGCCGCTATGGCCAGCACACTGCGCTGATCCAAAGCCAGGAGCCAGGTGCTTCATCCTGGTCTCCCATGTGGGTGCAGGGGCCCAAGCACTTGGGCCATCCTCCACTGCCTCCCTAGGCCACAGCAGAGAGCTGGACTGGAAGAGGAGCAACCGGGACAGAACCAGCGCCCCAACTGGGACTAGAACCCTAGTGCCGGCACCACAGGCAGAGGATTAGCCAAGTGAGCCGTGGCACCGGTTCAAAGATTTATTTATTTATTTTATTTATTTGAAAGACAGAGTTTCAGAGAGAGAGTTCTTCCATCCACTGGTTCTCTCTCCAAATGGCTGCAACCACTGGAGCTGAGCCAATTCGAAGCCAAGAGCCAGGAGCTTCTTCCAGGTCTCCCACGTGGGTGCAGGGGCCTTAGGACCTGGGCCATTTTTTGCTGCTTTCCCAGGGCACAGCAGAGAGCTGGATTGGAAGTGGAGCAGCTATAACTTGAACTGGTGTTCATATGGGATGCTGGTCCTGCAGGCCAGGACTTTAACCCACTGCGCCACAGCACTGGCCCCTTAAGATGTTTTCAAAAATTTATTTGAAAGGCAGAGTGACAGAAAGAGGGAAAGACAGAGAAAGAGATCTTCCATCTGGTTGTTCACTCCCCAAATGGCCACAATGGTCAGGGCTGGGCCAGGCTAAAACCAGCAGCCTGGAAGTTCATCCTGGTCTCCAACATGGGTAGCCGGGGCCCAAGTACTTGGTCCAACCTCCATTGCTTTCCCAGGCACATCAGTAGGGAGCTGGATTGGAAGCAGAGCTGCCAGGACTAGAACCTGCACTCTGTTATGAGATGTTGGCCACCAAGGTAGTAACTTAACCCACTGTGCCACAGTGCTGGCCTTATCACAATTCTGATTTGATTGAATTTTAATTACCATGTGTATTTGTGTCTAGGGCTGCTGTAACAAAGAACTGTAAACTGGGGGTATTAAACACTAAGAATGTATTCTCTCATAGAGACTAGAATTCTGAAATAAAATCAAGTATAGGTCAGACCCTCCCTCCTTGCTTCTTCCAGTATCAGGTACACCCAAGGGCCCCGGGGCTCATATCTGCATAAGTGCAATTTCTGCCTCCGTCTTCATGTGATGCTCTTCCCTTTTATCTTCACATTGTCTTCTTATAAAGACATTATTCATACTGGATTAAGGGCCTACCCTACTCCAGTATGATCTCATCTTAGCTAATTATACCTTTAATTACCTTAGTTTCAAATAAGGTCACAATATGAGGTGTTGGAGTTAGGATTCAATTTGGTTTTCAGGGTCATAATCCAGCTTGTAAAACCAAGATTTAGTTAAATACCACCAATCTTCCAAAAATATTGATCAAGATCCAGTTATTATGTATTGACTGTGAATAATTGCATAAGGTAAATATTTTATTGACAGCTCTTTAGTCCATAAATCACTATGTAAATAATACATGCATATCCTGATCCATTATCGATTGTGTCATTTCTTTCAAATATTTCAGTGATTTGTCATTGGGCATCTATTTAGTTTATTTGCAGACAGCAAAGCACATAGGTTTGTTGCCTTCTTTGTCTCCCAGTGATGAATTTGCATAACATTTTACAAAAATAGGTAATTGAGCGGCTGGCATTGTGACATAGCAGGTAATGCCACTGCCTGTGCAATGCCAGCATCCCACATGGTTCATGTCGGTTCATGCCCTGGCTGCTCTACTTCTGATCCAGCTCCCTGCTAATAGCCTGCGAAAAGCAAAGAAAAGTGACCCAAGTGCTTGACCCCTGCCACCCATGGGGGAGACCCTGATGAAGCTCCTGACTCCTGCCTTTGGCCTGGCCCATCCTCAGCTGTTATGGCCTTTTGGAGAATGAATCAGCAGTTACAAGATCTCTTTCTCTTCCCTCCCTCTAAAAGGAATAAATAAGAAAATCTGTCGCATTGGGAGAGTGTTACTTGGTTCTTGACTTCTGTCAGTATAGAAATAAGGAAAGAGCCGAGATGCAAAGCAAGAGTAAGTTTATGGAGTGAGCCAGGAGGCAGAACAAAAGGCTGTCTGACTCACTGGAGACCAGTAGTTCAGAGAGGGTCCCCAGAGCCGGGGGTCTATCTGGGAGAGTGAGGCATAAGGTCTGTTATGGATAGTTTAACTTCCTGTTTGATCAACATCACTAGGGTGTTACACAGCATATGGGGTGTGGGGTGATTTTAATTGGACCTAGGCTGTGAGCACAAGCACAGAAGGGATCTTGGGTTGCGCTTTTTGCAGTGTCTATGAGTACTGCAAGGGTATAGAAAGGGATTGGATTGGTCGTTCCGTGGTGCGCGCATGAATGGGCTTGCCACATGAACCGAGGAAGAAGAAGGGGGAAGGGGAAGTTGGAAGCCATTTTAGGCTATTATTTATTTTGGAAACCTCTACTGGAGGCTTTCTGTCCCTACCTATGGGTCCGCTAGCCCTACAAATCTTAAAAAAATAAATTAATCGACTGCAGGAATACTGACATTGCCACCATCCAAGAGTTTATAAATGTGCAGCCAAAGGAACTTAGTAGATGTGAATTTATTAATGTAAATGTATAAAATTATGGTAAAAAGATGCCTCAGAGGAGTGATGTCATTAAAAAACTTTCATATTATAGTGAAGTCTCAGAGACACATCATAACATTGAAAGCAAAAGGGATAAAATGTTTGAAGCTTACCAAACTTTGAAAGCTGCATGGTAATTCACAAAGGCACAGCAAATATACTCCTCCATATTGTAAGTTATACAAGAAAAGATAGGTTCTATTCTAACTTCTCTTGGTAATTTTTTTAAAATAAAGAAAAACACTAAAAACTCTCAATTTTTAAAAAAGATTTATTTATTTTGAAATTCAGAGTTACAGAGAGAGGGAGACACAGAGAGAGAGCGCGCAAGCTACCATCTGCTGATTCACTTCCAACATGGGCTGATCAGGCCAAAGCCAGGAGCAATGAGCTTCTCTCATGTGTCCCAGTTGTGTGGCAGATCTTCTGATGCTTTCCCCAGGCCATTAGCAGGGAGCTGGATTGGAAGCGGGGCACCCGGGACATGAACCAGTGCCCATTTGGAATACCAGCGTCCTAGGTGGTGGCTTTACCTGGCATGCCATTATGACAGCCCCTAATTCTCAATTTTTATAATGTTCTAAAATAAATGGGGCAGGCGTGAAGTGTGGTGGTTAAGACACTACTTGAGACACCTGTATCCCATACTTGAGTGCCTTGGTTCGAGTCCCAACTCGCTTTTTTTTTTTTTTTTTTTTGACAGGCAGAGTGAACAGTGAGAGTTGCCGTTGGTTCACCCTCCAATGGCCGCTGCCAGCACATTGCGGCTGGCGCACTGCGCTGATCCGATGGCAGGAGCCAGGTGCTTCTCCTGGTCTCCCATGGGGTGCAGGGCCCAAGCACTCGGGCCATCCTCCACTGCACTCCCGGGCCACAGCAGAGAGCTGGACTGGAAGAGGGGCGACTGGGACAGAATCCGGTGCCCCGACTGGGACTGGTGTGCCGGCACTGCAAGGTGGAGGATTAGCGTAGTGAGCCGCGGCGCCGGTCAAACTCTGCTTTTGATACCAGCTTCTTGCTAATGTGCATCCTGGGAGGCAACAGCTTGCCTCAAGAAGTTGGGTTCCTAAAATCCAAGTTGAAGGCTTAGATTGAGTACTGGATTCCTGGTTTCAGGTTGGTCCAGCCTCAGTTGTTGTGGAATTTAGGGAGTAAAGTAGCACATGGGTGATCTCTCCCCTGCCCTTCTCTCTGCCTTTCAAACAAAATGAAAGTCAATAGAAATACTAAGTATCCTATACTAAAAATACATCAGTTTTATCTTTTATTTCCCTATATACATATATTACTGATAGAAAATTTTTAACAACCTGAGAAAAATTTTGAAGGTCAAAAATTATAATTTTTCCCATTTTTTTGAAGATTTATTTATGGGGCTGGCATTGTGGCATAACAGGTTAAGCCATTGCCTGCAGTGTCAACATCCCATATGGGTGTCACTTCAAGGCCTGCCTGCTCCACTTCTGATCAAGCTCCCAAGAACTTGACCATCTTAGCAGGGAGCTGGATTGAAAGTGGAGCAGCCAGTACTCGAACCAGCACCCATATGGGATGCCAGCACTGCAGGTGGAGGCTTACCCTCTATACCGCAGCACTGGCCCCATTGCACCATTTTTCATTTTCATGAGCTGGAGCAAATTAAGAGCTACTTTTATATGTGTCATCCAGAGTCTATTCGGAGACAGAAAACTATTAGTTACTTGAATGAGTGGACTTAATAGGAAAGGTTATTGACTGGGTATAAATTTCATAACTAGCCACTGAAAAGGTAATAAGAAAACTGAAATATCATGGAAGGAGCAACCACAATAAGCAGCTAACACTCCTGGTTCTAAAGTAACAAAGGGAAGAGGCTGGAATTATTGGAAATTGGTTAGACATGTAAAAGAGAGGCTCTGAAGAGTTAAAATCCAGACTTCAGAAAAGGAAGCGCTGAGTGGGAACAGGGCGGTTGGTACGGGTCTCTGAGGTGCTGCAAACACATGGAGACTCACGATTAGAAACACTGCAAACCAGATGGAGCTGCTGCTGCAAGAAGGAACTGCCTTGAGGCTCAAGAAGCATTGCTGGGGTTAGGTTCACAGGAACCTCACACAGACAGGAAGCAGGCAGAAAGGGGATCCCCCCTTCCTCTAGCACTGTGGTCTCTCCTTACCACCCCGTATTGATGGAGCTTAACATGCAGTCTCCTGACAAAGCAGAAATGTTACATCACAAAGCACAACGGAGCAAGGGGGTCTGGAGCTGAGAGATAATGACTTAGTAACTGGCACACTGTTCTGGGAGCAACAGTGGCAGAGAAGTATAAACTGGGTATGCAAGGGTGCGTCTTTGATTCTCAAGAGAAAATGAGAATAGTTTTGTTCTAAGGTAATATCCCTGCTTAATCCAGAATGTAAGCATGAAGAGTTAAGTGGTTACAGAAAATTGCAAGTGGTGTGCAGAATAGGAACTTTCTATGCTCTGGGTATTTGTTTATTTAAGGGTAGAGAGAGGCTGATGTAGTGGTACAGTGTGTTAAGCTGCTGCCCATATCCGAGTCCCTGTTGCTCTGCTTCCAATCCTTACTAATGTGCCTGGGAAGGCAGTGGAAGATGGTTCAAGTGCTTGAGCCCCTGTTATCCATGAGGGAAAAGTTTTAAATACAGCCCATTTTTTTTCTGTATGGTTTTCCATTGCTTTATGTGCTTTTGTTATTTATACAAAAAAATATTGCCAAATCCAACATCTTGAAGCTTTCCTTTCATGTTTTCCTTTAAGAGGTTTTTATAATTGGGGTCCTAAGATCTTTCTACATTTTGAGATGAGTTTTATATATGATATAAACAGAAGGTCCAACTTCTTTCTTGTGGTTGAGAACAGCCAGTCTCCCCAACAACACTTGTTGAAAAGATTGTCTTTACCCCACTGAATGGTCTTGATATCCTGATTGAAAAACATTTGATTATTTATTTAAGGGTTTTATTTCTGAGATTTCTACTTTATTCTACGTGTGTGTGTGTGTGTATCCTATATATTTGTTTTTTAAAATGCCAATAACACATTGTTTTGTTTATTGTAGCTTTGCAATAAAGTTTGATAGTATGAAAACTTCAATTTTTTCTTCTTTTCCAAGATTACTTTGTCTATTCAGAGTCCACTGAGATTCCATGTGAATTTTAGATTGGATTGTTCTATCTTAACCAAAGAAATTTTAATTAAAAATTATTTATTTGGAAGACAGAAAGAAAGAACTCCTATCTCCTGACTCATTCCCCAAAGGCCTACAAATGGCCAGAACTAGGCTGAAGCAGAGTTGGAAGCTGGGAACTAAATCCAGGCATCCCATGTGGGTCCCAGGAACTCACTGACTTGAGCCATCACCACTACTTTCCAGGGTCCCAAGTAGCAGGCAGCTGGAATAAGGGGCCAGGGTCAAGCGTTGAACCGAGACACTTTGGTGTGGGCCATTGGCATGCAGACCAATAACAGCTCAACTGCTAGGCCAAATACCCACTCCTTTCCAAAATGTAATTTTCTAAACCTTCTTTATAAGCTATTCAGAAGAGACTTGGGTTCTCACCAAAAGCATGTTCTATGCTTTGTGCTATCACTATTTTTATTTATTTTTTTTAGCTTCTCCCTGTGGAAGAGTTGATTTTTTTTTTTTTTTTTGAAAGGCAAAGTTACTGAGAGGCAGAGAAAGATAGAGAGGTCTTCCATCCACTGGTTCACTCCCCAATTGGCCGCAACAGCCAGAGCTGTGCCTGTCTGAAGCCAGGAGCCGGGAGCTTTTTCCAGATCTCCCACATGGGTGGAAGGGCCCAAGGACTTGGGCCATTTTCTACTGCTTTCCCAAGCCACAGCAGAGAGCTGGATTGGAAGTGGAGCAGCTGGGACTTGAACCGGCACCCATATAGGATGCTGGCACTGCAGGTGGTAGCTTTACCTGCTATGCCACAGTGCCAGCCCTAGTGTTCTTTTAGATCATGTTATCTTCTGCTATATTTATCTTAAATTATTTTGTTATTGCAATTAATAACCAGTCAGGCTACAAACCACTTATATTCTGGGGCACATATGATCCCGTCCTGATCAAGTGGCCAGATATCCTCTAGTAGTTTTCAATTTTTTTCCCCCAGGTCAGAGCCTAAATTCAAAAGAAAAAAATAATTCAAGATGTTTCCACTGTCTTAGGGGCAGAGAGTCCCCAGGCAATCATAAACATTTTTACCTTTACCTTATTAAAAAAAAAAAAAAACGAAACTTGAAGTTTGGTATGCTCTATATTTTGTAATTTTTCCACACTGTTTTAAGAGACAGTGTTGAGCTTAAGATAGAAAGAATTGTTAAAGCAAAAAGAAGTGTAGGGGGCAGTGGTCTGGCACAACCAGTCAAGCCACCGCCTGTGACGCTGGTCACTTCTTACCCAGCTCCCTGTTCATGCCCCTGGGAGAGCAGCAGAAGACAGCCCAAGTCCTTGGGTCCCTGCCACTCACCTGGAAGATCTGGATGGACTTCTGGGCTCCTAACTTTGGTCTGGTCCAGCCCTGGCCATTGCGGCCATTTGGGGAGTGAACCATAGGCTGGAAGACCTATCTCTCTCTTCCTCTCTGTCTCCCTCTCTCTCTGTAACTCTGGCTTTCAAATAAATAAATAAATCTTAAAAGAATCCAAAACATCCTGTATTCTTCACTCTAGTATATTTGTTGATTCTAGTTACTAATTAACCAGAGACATTCAGTCTCAGCAACAACATGTTGTTTCATGCTCTGCTTTTATGCTTCCCTAAGGGCTATATCATAAGCTACAAGCAAAAATTAGGTCTTTAGGGGCCAGCATTGTGGCATAGGGGGTAAAGAGGCCACCTGCAAGGCTAGCATTCTATATGGGCACCCGGTATAGTCCTGGCTGCTCCACTTCCAATCAAGCTCTCTGCTAATGTGCAAGGGAAAGCAGTGGAAGATGGCACAAGCATTTGGGCCCCTACACTCACTTAGGAAACCCAGTAGAAACTCCTGGCTCCTGGCTTCAGTTTGGCCCACCCATGGCCATTGTGGCCACTTGGGGAGTGAACCAGCAGAAGGAAGATCTTTCTCTTTCTCTCTCTCTGTTCACTCTGACTTTCAAATGAATAAAATAGAATCTAAAAAAATAAATAAATTAGTTCTTTAGGGTGGACATTTTGGGCAGTGGTTAAGGTGCCAACAGGGATAGCCACATCACATATCAGAGTGTTTGGGTTCAAGTCTTGACTCTGCTCCTCGTTCCTGCTTCCTGCTAATGCAGACCCTGGGAGGTAACAGATGATGACTTAGATACTTAGGTCCCACCAGACAAGTAGGGCACCTGGATGAAGTTCCAGACTCCTGATTTTTGGCCTGGCCCAGCCCTGGGTATTGAGGAGAGGGGATAGTGAACAAGCCAATGGGAGATTGATCTGTGTTTGTCTCTCTCTCACTGCTTTTCTGTCCCTCTGCCTCTCAAGTAAAATGAAAATACACTAATTTAATTTAAAGCTTGGATCCTGAACAAGCCAATGAAGGAAGAAAGATGATGTCAGACCTTATGAACAGGACTGTTCCAGGTTCTCTATTGATGCAGCAATAAATGGGCTCAGTGGTATGGGCTTCTGAGCGACTGCTTACACCCTGCCTCCTGTACCAGGGGACTGAACTGTGGTTTCCAGATTATTTTTAGATCAGAAGCATCTGACTTCATGGAAATCTACCAACCCACGATCCTGTGGAATTGAATGAACTGATAGGGAAAATCTAATACAGCGAATTTAATCTCCTGAGGGGAACTGTGTTATCCTTGGTGTTCCACTTACTCATGGGTCTGTAAGGAAGTCCTCTGTTTTCCTTCAAGTTCTGTCTCTAACCCTGAATGTACAGGCTATGCTTTCGCAAACTGAAATGAAACACTCTGTAGATGATATCTTGTACTCCCCAGCCTCTTGTCATTTCAAAAACAAATACTTCTGCCAAGTTTATTTTTCATGCCAATATAGTCATTTCTCTGCATTTAATAAGAATCTCTGCTACTTTTTATGAAGGTAAAACTAAACAAATCAACTGTTTGATTAGCAACTATACTGGACTATCATATTAGAGAATGAATTACATTTTGTCTGGCACAACAAGCCTACAATGAGGGAACACTATGGTTTTTAATCTGTGGTGCCAACACACCTAATTGAATTTGGTCAAAATATCTTGAGTTAGGGTTTTTGTTTTTGTTTTTTAAGATTTATTTATTGAAAGGCAGAGTTACAGAGAGGCAGAGGCAAAGAGAGAGATAGAAGTCTTCCATCCACTGATTCACTCCCCAGATGGGCAGAGCTGTGCCAATCCCAAGCCAGGTGCTTCTTCTGGGTCTCCCACATGGGTGCAGGGGCCCAAGGACTGGGGCCATCTTCCACTGCTTTCTCAGGCCACAGCAGAGAAGCTGGATCAGAAGTGGAGCAGCTGGGACTCGAACCGGTGCTCATATGAGATGCTGGCACCACAGGCAGCGGCACAGTGCCGGCCCCATGAGTTCAGGTTTTAGAAATATGTGTAGCCAAGACTAATCTCCAGAATTTTTTTATATGGTTATAAGAAGGACTGTTAAGAAAAATTATTCAAACTCAGGAATAAGACCAAAAAATTACATGAATTTTTAATGTATAACAAGACTCTTTAAGGATTATTTCATTTTCTAAGGAATGTTCTTTTTATGACTTAATATTTACTATTGATTAAGGTTTATATGTTGTAAAGTTTCATATTAAGTTGTAATTTTTTTCAGGGACAGATGTAAATAATTTTCCCCCATAGTAAAATAAATAAACCAAAAAAACATCCAAAGTTTTAAATCAGACCTACAAAGTATTTCTTTGTGCCTTTCCAAATGGACTATACATATTTCCTGTTCATATAATTCTTTTAAAAATTATTTATTTGAAACTCATAGAGAGGCAGAGAGAGAGAGAAACAGACAAACAGAGACAGAAGTCTTCTATCTGCTCCCACATGGGTGCAGGGGTTCAGGCACTTGGGCCATCTTTTGCTGCCCTTCCAGGCACATTAGCAGGAAGCTGGATGAGAAATGGAGCAGTCTGAACTTGAACTCACGCCCATATGGGATGCCTGCACTGTAAATTTACCCCTCTGCACCACTGTTCTGCCCCCCCCTTATTTATTTATTTATTATTTATTTATTTGAAAGGCAGAGTTACAGAAAGAAACAGGGAGGGAGAGACACAGAGAGAGGGATCATTCATCCACTGGTTCACTTCCCAGATGGTCACAATGGCTGGGGCTGGGCCGGGCTGAAGCCGGGAGCTTCATCCAAGTATCCCATGCGGGTAGCAGGGACCCAAGCACTTGGGGGCAACCTCCGTGCTTTCCCAGGCATGTTATCAGGAATCTGGATGAGCAGCGGTGCAGCCAGGACTCGAGCCAGCCCCCATTTGGGATGCACGTCTCCATTCTTAAGGAAGCATGTTGCTCTGCGGTTTCCCAGTAACCTCAATCCAGCAGGTTGCAAAGCTATTTCCCTTCTCAGACTGCAGCCCCTGATTCTTATCCCAGAAACTCCTTTCTTTCATCTTCCCTGGCCTATGAATTCCCTGCCTGTTCCATCATCTTCTGCCTCAGGGAAGTCAAACCCCTGTCTCCAGAGCAGGTTCCTATTTGGAAACCAGTGTGGCCGAGATGTTCCTCCTCATTCCTGAGCCTTGCGTCCACACTGCATTTCCTAGCTGCACAGCACTCTGCTGTCCCCAACGCCTGACTCCATGGTGCCCAGGGGAACTCCTGGGCCTGATCGTGGACCTTTCTTTACCCAGTTACTGATAGAACTCCCCTGCTTAGCCTCAGAGGAGAAAGGAAGGAAGTCCTAAAGCTGGAGACAATGTTTAAAGTGAGTTCACATCGTCATTGATCATAAAATAGAGCAATAAAATAATTTATTAAGGATTTATTTATCTATTTGAAAGCCAGAGTTATAGAGAGAGAGGGAGTAGCAGAGAGAAAGAGATCTTTTGGTTCACTCCGCAAATGGCCATAACAGACAGGGCTGGGCCAGACTAAAGCTAGGAGCCAGGAGCTCTATCCAGGGCTCCCACAGAGGTTCAGGGGCCCAAGCAGTCGGGCCATCTTCTGCCACTTTCCCAGGCATATTAGCTTGGAGCTGGATCAGAAGTGGAGCAACCAAGACTCAAACTGGGTGTCCAAATGGGATGCCGGTGCTGCAGGCCATGGCTTAACGTGCTGAGCCACAGAACCAGCCCTTGTAATTCTTCTTGAAACTAACTCACCATGTAACTCATTACAGAGTTGAAAAATTAGTCATTGACTTGTGTTCATTCTATATTTGTATTAAAGCATGCGTTTAAAAATTCTGATCTTTTAAAAGTATATTTTGTCACTCTTTAATAGCTTCTCTGATTTCCCTATTCTAATTCAACCTACATGCTGCTGTCAGTCTAGTCTTCCTAAAATATCACTTATTTCCCTTACTCCCTTCCTTGCTGAAACTATCAACAAGATAAATTTCTAAAAGACAGTATTCATAGTCCTTTGCTTTTGAGCTCCAAATGTCTTTAGCACTTTATACAAAAGCTTCTTTCAGCCTAACAAAAATATTGTACTTATTTTATCTTTTTAACCAACGTATCATGTTACAACAGCTGCAACAACAATAAAAATAATCTAATTATGTTCCCCATCCATTTATCTTCTTGGAATTTCTATTCCCTCAAGCCATCTTGTTTTATCTCAGCTAGTAACACCCCCTCACCATGGGAATTGGGTGCCTGAACTCTTCGAGCAATTAGCACTACAAAAAGGCACATTCTGACATAATAAAGGATATATCTGGATTTTGCCCTGGTTCCCAGCATAGAGCTTCAAACCCTTGGAACGTCCTGAGTAACAGTCATATCTGGTATGTTATTGGGGTAATTCATTGTAGGCCTCTAGACCGATGCAAGGGTTGAACTAATCATCAGAAAGACCAATCGTGTGAGTTCAGACGCTAATGCTTAGGATTTGGAACCAGGCCTTGACCTCCAAGGGGGAGAGAATGCCTGGAGATTGAGTCCAATCAAGTGGCCAGTGATGTATTCAGTCATGCTTTGTAATGAACCTCCAGTAAATCTTCTGGACATCAAAGCTCAGTGGAGCTTCCTTGTTGGTGAACACGTTTATGTGACAGGAAGCCGACTCCTCTGGATTCCCTGACAGGAGGGAACAACATGACTGATTGGATTAGATCCCTGGCCTAGCTGGGCTGATTGGATTTTTGTCTTCTAGGAGTGTTCATAGAAACATTGGAATGTTCATTTGTTGGCTAGTGGTGCTAGAGCAAGCTATATCTGAAGTAGTAAGTATTACAACACAGTTTTATTGAATGACTCAATAAAATTACTGTAATTTTAGGCCAGTGATGACCATTCTCCTGTGTTCCTGGAAAAACAGAGAAAATCAATTTGCTGAAAAGGAGGAGAATTAAGCATGCTATAATCTTAATGTTTGTTTTTCCTCCCCCAAATGCATATATGGAAATTAATAGTCAATGCAATAATATTAAGAGGTGGGCATTTAGGGGTGATTAGGTTGTGAAGGTAGAGTCTTCATGCTTAGAGTATTCATAAAAAAAGGATCAAGGGAGCTTGTTCACCCCTTCTACCATATAAAGACACAAATAGGGAACTTCAAAAAGTTAGTGGGAAAATGGAATTAAAATTATGAGCTTGGGGGGCTGGCACTGTGGTGCAACAGGTGCCAGCATCCCATATGGGCACTGATTCTAGTCCTGGCTGCTCCTGCTCCATTCCGATCCAACCCCCTGCTATTGCCTGGGAAAGCAGTAGAAGATGGCCCAAGCATTTGGGCCCCTGCACCCATGTGGGAGACCCAGGAGAAGCTCCTGGCTTTGGATTGGCCCAGCTCCAGCTGTTGCAGCCATTTGGGGAGTGAACCAGTGGATGGAAGACCTTTCTCTCTGTCTCTCCCTCTCACTTTCTGTAACTCTACCTCTCAAATAAATAAATAAAACATCTTTTAAAATAATTATACGTTTGGGGCTGGCTTTGTGGCACTGTGGATTAAGCTGCCAGTTGCAATGCTGGCATTCCATATAGGAACATCAATTCATGTCCCAGTTGCTCCTCTCCTGATCTAGCTCCTTGCTAATGTGCCTAGAAAAGCAGTGGAAGATGACCCAAGTGCTTGGTACCCTGCCATCCACATGGGAGACCCAAATGGAGTTCTAGGATTCTAGCGCCAGCCTGGCCCAGCCCTGGACATTGCAACTATTTTTGGGAATGAATCAGCAGTTGGAAGATATTTCCCTGTCTCTCTTCTTTCTGTCACTCATATAAATAAAACTTTAAAAAAAAAGTATGAATTTATTTTAGCAAAAAAAATTTTTACCAAATTTTTTTGCAATATGTGAATGTATATTATGAAAAAACTATATACAACAGGGCTGGCGCTGTGGCACAATGGGTTAATGCCCTGGCCTGAAGCGCCAGTATCCCATATGGGCGCCGGTTCAAGACCCAGCTGCTCCATTTCCTGCCCAGCTCTCTGCTATGGCCCGGGAAAGCAGTAGAAGATGGCCCAAGTTTTTGGGCCCCTGCACCCACGTGGGAGACCCAGAAGAAGCTCCTGGCTCCTGGCTTCGGATCGGCACAGCTCCAGCCATTGTGGCCTTCTGGGGTTGAACCATCAGATGGAAGACCTCTCTCTCTCTCTCTCTCTCTCTCTCTCTCTCCTCTCTCTGTGTAACTCTGACTTTCAAATAAATAAATAAATCTTTAAAAAAACTATATAAATGTATTTCAAAATTTGTTTTGCAACCAAATAAATTCATACTTTAAAAAAATTAAAATTGTTTTATTTGAGAGACTGATAGAGAAAGGGCTCCCATCCTCTGGTTGGTTCCCAAATATCAGCAATGAAGAAGAGGGAGGTGGTGCTAAGCCATGAAGTAGAAACTCATTCCAAGGTCCCACATGGGTGCATGGTGTCAGGGACCCAACTGCTTGAGCCATCACCTGCTGCTATCCAGGGTGTGCATTAGCAGGAGACTGGAGTCAGAAGCTGGATCCAGGTATCAAACCCAGGCACTCGGATGTGGGCTGTGAGCATCTGTGGAACAGAGAGCCCTCCTTAGTCACAGGACCTGCTGGCTCCTTGATCTGGGACTTCCCAGCCTCCAGGACTCTCAGCAGTAAATTTCTGTTGCTTATGAATGATCCAATCTAAGATATTTTGTTACAGTAGCTCCCAGAAAACAAAGACAAAGCAGCTGCAAAATTAGAAGCAGAGACAAATGATCGCAGCATTTTTTTTTTTTTTTTTGAGATAACCACTTTGGACTCTGAAACGTTTTCCTGTTCCAGGCCTTGTGAGGCCCTGGTGCACCCTTCTCTGGTTTGCCTTGAAATGGGTCTGTATCTTCCTGTTAACATTTTCCCATTTGCTCCTTAGTTGAAGTCATCTTCTGTTGCTAGTGTTAAAGGATATTTTTAGTGACAAAATCATGATTCTCATATAAATAAAAAAAGAACATCATTTTACTTGTTCTTTAGTTACATGAGGAAACCGGTAAGATGTTACAACAGAGTCCAAAGAGAATCCAAGCAGCAGTAATATTTTTTGATCAGAAATATTGAAGTGAATTTCCAAACGGATGCAAAGGTGTCATTTGGAAGAGAGGGCGTGTTATCCACTCACTGGACAGTATTCATCTGAGTGGCTATGGACAAGAACTATTTGCATGGTTCCATGTTTTCTACAAGTCAGTTTGCGTCACGGAAGTGTTTGAGAGAGAAGAAAATGAATCTCCCCGGATGATCAGATACTCTCAACATTAGAGCATTCCATTGAAGTATGCCCAGTGAGTTCTTTGTTTCTTACAGTGTCTTAAATGTAATGTCTTCATACTAGGAAACAAATGATCCTTGTCTAAAACAGTGTTTCTCCTATAGGTCTGTGAGAGAAAATGGTCCTCTCTGTGAAAGATCTGCCTGGATGCAGAGAGAAAAGAAGCCAATCCCTGCTTCTGGGAAAGATGAGTCGCCCCAGCAACTCACGGGCTGTAGATCCCTTGAATCCAGCCTCCCTCACCAGATTTTAAGCCACTTGAGTACAGGAAACTTGCTGAATGCCTAGTGCACCTTCAGAAACGGTGTCGTCAGAAACAGGTCTTCCAGAAATACTTGCTGATCCACTGCTTGACTTTTGTAAATGGAAACAAGAAATGTGCCACTGTATTGGAAGATATAAGACAACCGTGACAAAGCAACAGCACAAGCTAGTCTGTAGCTGAAAATCAGTCAGAAATCAAAGATTCATGTGATCTGATAAAGGAGTGCAGTAACATTATTAAACCTCATATTTCAGAAACTTTTAAAAATTGCTATAAATTATATGACCAGTATATTATGTGGAGAAAAGGGGGAAAATGCTTCAAACAGGGGGAATTTGCATGTAAAAAATGACAATTAAAAATGGACTGATTTTACCTCCCCACCCTGTTTTTTTTTTTTTTTTTTTTTTTACTTTCAGTCCTTAGATCTCCAATCTCCAGGAAGCTACGCTAATATGAGAGGATAAAAGAGACCTTAGTGGAGGCTGCCAGGCACCCCCTAAACAGAACTAATAATGAGTCCTTTCAGAGTTTCATGATGCCACACCTGGGCCAGGCGCTTGTCTCCGGGCAGCCTTCGTTCTTCCTGTCTTGCTGTGTTGCAACTTCTCACCTCAGGAACCGCCCCTGTGCACACAACTCAGTACACACAACTCCGGTTTGAAAACACCGTCTCTCTGAAGGAACCCAGAACATGTTACTCCAAAATATGTTCTTTGACCAAAAAAAAAATTGTTTTTGAGCTGGTATTTATCCTAGCACTTAGAACCTGGAAAAAGACAGCTGGATCTCACATCTGAGTACTTGAGTTTGATGCCTGGCTCTACCTCCTGTTTCCAGCTTCCTGTTAACTCAGACCCTGGGAGGCAGCGAGTGATGGCTCAGGTGGTTGGGTTCCTACCACCCACCTGGAGACTTGTACTGAGTTCCTAGCTCCCAGCCTTGGCCAAGCCAAAGCCCTGACTGTGGTGGGCATTTGGGGGAGTTAAATCAGTGAATGAGATCTCTATCTAGTTCTTTCTCTCTGCCTCTCACATAAATAAATTTAAAAATATATTTATTTATTTGAAAGTTTCAGAGAGGTAGAGAGAGAGGAAAAGAGAGAGAGAAAGAGAGGTCTTCTATCCACTCGTTTACTCCCCAGTGGCTGTAACAGCTGGAGCTGGGCCCATCGGAAGACAGCAGCCAGGAGCTTTCTCTGAGTCTCCCACACGAGTGCAGGGGCCCAAGGACCTGCGCCATCTTCTACTGCTTTCCTAAGCCATAGCAAAGAGCGGGATCAGAAGTGGAGCAGCTGGGACCTGAACTGGCACTCATATGGGATGCGGCCGCTGCAGGCGTCAGCTTTACCCGCTACGGCCACAGGGTTAAAAAAAGCAGCAGCAAATCGAGGAAAAGCTCTGTTTTCTTGATTTTCTGCCTAAAGCAAAGACAAACATTTTTCTTTAAGCGGAGTCAGTTCTAGGTTTCTATCAGCCCATTTTTGTACCAAAGGAATCTGCAAAGAAAACTCCCTCCACTAGACTTCTCCGTGTATTTCCCTTCTCACAGTTCCCCACCCTGGGAGGTAGGCAGGTAGACAGTGAGCAAGAGCAGCTGAGAACTGCCAGCACCCAAGCCAAAGCTGGCTGCGCACTCCCCCAGCCCCACCTTCTCCCATTCAAGCTGCAGCTGCCCTGCTTTACTGGTTAAGAGCTGGTGCTGGCTTGAAATATCCCACGGGCTGTGGCGCGGCACACCCGCGCCCCATCACACAGCTGAGCCTCCCTCCCCAGTGCTCCGGAAGCCGTCACACTTCTGAGATTTCCACTCAAGCCCCACCCCACCCGAAACTCCACCTGTCTGAAAATTCGGTTAAGTGACACCCCAGACATCACCCTCATTCCAAAAGGAGGACCCTAAACTTTGTTCATTACTGCTCTCCCTCATGCACTCTCTGAGTGCTTTCTTTTTGCCTTTAAATGAGCATTGCTGTCCTGCTGACCCTCATCTGGGGCTCCTGTTTGAATGCTTTCACCTGTGGAGACAGAACTTGGAGCAAATCTAGCTGGGGCGCTCCCCCAGAACACTTGGAAGCCTAAAGCTGAGTTCCTGTATCTTGTCATTCCTCCCCACATTTACTGTTCTTTCTTGAAGATTCTGTGTGAGTGGAGTTCTGAGCTACCACATGGAGTTACTTTTTTGTTGAAGTTTTTCCTAATGATGTGTATTGCATGAATTAATAAGCTGTTTGTTTTTCTCATATTAATCGGTCTTTCATTACAAGGGCCTGTTCCAACGAAGAATCTACAAGGGTTTAGGAAAAAATTATCTCCCCTCCCCCCCCACCACCATCCCTCATTTTCTTTCAGGCTCTAAAGAGGTTTGTTGTTAATCACCTCCAGGAACTAAATCAGCATGAAAACCATGGCAGAGAGAAAAAAAAAAAAAAAAAGGAAGCTGCCCTGTCTCCCAGTAGTTTCTGAGTTAGTACACCACGAGTGGAGAGTGATGTGATAATTTTTCCCTCTGCTTTTGTGTATGCATTGTGGGGAAATGCACTTTTCCTCCTGTCCCTAGTCCCATCTTCTTACTCCAGATCTAGGTGTAAATTAGTCCTGAAGACACAATGCTGGTAAAGCGCTAACTATCCCCCTAGCACAAGTGGGAATTTGCAGTTTTTGGAACCTTTCCTTGCCCAGGTGGAGACTTGTGCATAATGGAGACCAATATAATCTCACTGAGTAAGTTCCCTGCTTACCCAATCGCAGCTGAAACTTGGAATTGCAAATTTCACTTTTTTTTTTTTTTTAAGTGAGTTGAGTTAGATTAATTGAATAGACTGCAAGGAAGCAGCAGGCGAGGAGGACAGGTAAGGGCTGACTATTGTTGCCGAATTTCATTTTTTAAAGATTTTTTAAAAAAGATTTATTTGAAAAGCAGAGTGAGAGCAAGAGAGGAGAGAGATCTTCCATCCATGGTTAACTCCCAAATGTCTGCAATAGGAAGACTCGGAACAGGCTGAAGCCAGGAGCCCTGAATTCCCTCCTGGTCTCTCACAGGGACGGCAAGGCCCAAGCAGTTGAGCCATTTTCTGCTGCCTTCCCAGACACATTAGCAGGAAACTGGATAGGTAGCAGCATAGCCAAGACTCCAACCCACACTCACATATGGAATGTTGGCATCTTGAGTGGTGGTTTAACCTGCTGTGCCACAACACCAGCCCCACAAATTTCATTTTCAGAAGTCTGTAGATAAAGGCATGGCTTTTAAGAGCTTTTAAAAGCAGGATTTTAAGAAAATTTTTACTTTTTAAGAATTTGAGTTTCGGAAGGAATTTTTTTAATCTTTGAAATTAAAAGAAGGGGCAGGCCTTTGGTCTAGCAGTTAAGATACCAATGAGGGTACCCATGTCCTGATTGAGTACCTGGGTTTGATACCTGGTTCTAGTTCCAACGCAGACCCTGAGAAGGAATACAATGGCTCTAGTAATTCAGTTCCTGCCACCCACATGGGACATCTGGATTGTGTTCTCAGCTCACAATTAAAACCCTGACTCCCCTCATTGCAGTGTTCTGGGGAGTGAACCAGATGATGAGAGCTCTGTCCATGTATTTGGCTTTGTCTCTTTGCCTCTCAGACACATTATTTTAAACTAAGAGAAGCTTAGTTTAAAGCTTAGTTTAAACTAAGAGTGCTGCTTGATTTTGGAAAGCTGCCAAGTAATACAAGAATTTAGTTGTTTTTTTTGTTTGTTTGTTTTTGTTTTTGACAGGCAGAGTGGAGAGAGAGAGAGAGAGACAGAGAGAAAGGTCTTCCTTTGCCATTGGTTCACCCTCCAATGGCCGCCGCGGCCGGTGCACAGTGCTGATCCGAAGCCAGGAGCCAGGTACTTCTCCTGGTCTCCCATGGGGTGCAGGGCCCAAGCACTTGGGCCATCCTCCACTGCACTCCCTGGCCACAGCAGAGAGCTGGCCTGGAAGAGGGGCAACCGGGACAGAATCCGGTGCCCTGACCGGGACTAGAACCCGGTGTGCTGGCGCCACAAGGCGGAGGATTAGCCTATTGAGCCATGGCGCCGGCCAAAGAATTTAGTTTAATGAACTTTTGTATAAGTTGAAACAAGGTTGGGTTCCAAGTACCTAATCAGAAAGAGTGGTTTCCTTTGAAGCAAAAGGGTCTCTTTGTGTTGGAGTCAGAAAGGGCCTTGTTGTTTTGTGATTATAGACGTTTTTCTGGTATTAAGCTAGAGATACTGCTTGATGTGCAAACAATGTATAAGCACTGTTGTGTGTGATTCTATAGCAAAGCAATTTGGAAATTGAAGACTCGACTCAACCCACAGGGGACTGTGGACCGGATCACGAAGTGAATGAAGCTTGCATTCTTCCCTTATAGTGCTTTAATCCCTTTCAGGGTCCCCTGCTCTCCAACCTCTTTTATGCTCCAAGTCCTCAGCTAACTTCCAGGAGTGTTATTGCTTTCTAAATTATAATTTAAAAGTGCATTCTTAAGCACCAAAGACACTTAAGAGAGTAGAGGAAGAACTGGTGTTGGAGTTCAGGCAACATAGCCACCTGTAGAAGAGCTATTTCTATCCGAATGCCTCTTATATTCTTATATGCTCTGGTTTCTACTTAGGAATGGTTAATTATTGCCACATGTCTTTCACAATTGCTACTAGCTCACTTATAACACAGAAATGTTGGTCATTTCTCATTTTCCTGCCTTCTCTTCTAAGCAAAAAATAAAAATAACAGGATCCATGATCAGTTATTTATACATTGACTGAAATTCATATTATTTTGCCACATCCAGACCCCACTGCATTTCTTTCTTTCTTTCCTTTTTTTTTTTTTGGACAGGCAGAGTTAGTGAGAGAGAGAGAGAGAGAGAGAAAGGTCTTCCTTCTGTTGGTTCACCCCCCAAATGGCTGCCACGGCCAGCATGCTGTGCCGACCCAAAGCCAGGAGCCAGGTGCTTCCTCCTGGTCTCCCATGCAGGTGCAGGGCCCAAGGACTTGGGCCATCTTCCACTGCCTTCCCAAGTCACAGCAGAGAGCTGGACTGGAAGAGGAAGGAGCAATCGGTACTGCATTTGTCTTGACTTTCTTTTTTTTTTAAAGATTTATTTATTTATTTGAAAGATAGAGACAGAGAGAAGTGGGGGGAGAGAAAGAGAAAGGGGGGGGAAGGGGGAGGGAGAGGGATTTATCTGTTGGTTCACTCCCCAAATGGGCTCAATGACCAGCGCTATGCCAGGATGAAGCCAGGAGCCAGGAACAACTTCTGGGTCTCCCACGTGGGTAGGAGGAGCCCAAGTACCTGGAGTATCTGCTGCTGCTTTCCCAGGCACAATAGCAGGGATTGGAACTGGAGCAGCTGGGACA